TGGAACTTAAGTTTTCTACACTTTTTAACAAAAGTTTTTTTGTTTTTTTTTTGCATGGGGACAAGAAGTCCCCTATGTAATGCTTTTTTGGTGACAGGTTCTCTTTAATGAGACATCTCTTGACTAAAAGTGATGTCTCACCTGTCCTCCAATGCAGCTAATGGAATACACATCATGTTCCATTAGCTACTAATGGAGAAGCATGGGGACCTGGAAGTGAAATTTTACATATCCCTTCCGGGTAATAAACAGGAAGAGATCACCGAACAGACATTGTTTGATCTCCTTCCCTTCTACCTGGTGGCATCCACCATGCTCATCCTGGGTCCGCTGATGGGTGCACATAGCCCAGGAAACATGTTGGAGTGGCGTGTGTGGGTGGTGGGAGTAATGGGATGGAAGTGATCCGGTGACTGGATTGCCACTGGATCACTTCCATCTGATAGCTGGCAGTCAACCTTTCAGATTTACACACACCCCCGGCAGCTGCAGCCACCCACATCATTTTTCTACATCGGTGACAGTAAGAGGGTTAAGGCAAACCTGTCATGTGGGACCTGTTCTGGAAACTCTAGTTGCCTGACTAACATGCTGACCCACTGACCTCAATACTTTGAGTCACAGACCCAAACCAACTATGCATATACTGTAAGGACTCTAGCTTTCAATTAATTTATACAATTTTCAATAAGAAATACAAACATTAATTGTGATGTTTCACAGGTGTCATTAGTCTTTACTTAGCCTAGTTCACACTAAAGCGGCTCTGCATGCCACGCTTTGCACGGGCACAGCAGCCCATTCATTTGAATGAGCTGCCATGCTCCTGAAAACACAGAAAAAAGGTCCCTTCTTAATTTTTACAATTACAGCCCACACGGGAACTGCAAGTGCAGTGCGGTTCCCAGTGCGGGAAGTGGCTACTGTGATTTCCAGTGCCTGTGGGTGTCATTAGGATTAATGGCACCTGCACACATCTCTGCAGTTTCCTGTGCAGGTGGTTGCAGCTGTGGGAACTTTGTAACATTGCACTTTATTCAGTAAAGCATTAAGACTTTGTCTTTTGCTTGGTCTGAAGTTGCTTAAAAGGGGTGTAATGCAAGTAACTGGTAACTTTGCACTTAGTCTACTGCTTGGGTCAATAACACATGGGGTATGAAGCGTTAACATGTTGAGAGTCACCTTAATGCAAGTTACACATGTGGTTGTCATTAACAATGAAGGAACAGTCAGCAAGCAGCCTGTCTGTAGAGTGTACCTGTTATAGGTGGAATTGCCTCTAGCAACAAGGGAAATGTTGCCGGCACTCCCTATACCGCATTTTTTCTCCCTTAGCAATCGGAGTGGAACTGCAATGCAGAGGTCCCACTCCTGTACAGAGGTACAGAAGTTCAAAAGTTAAAGTCAAGTGCAAGTTTGGAACCTGCGCTATGTACATGGTGGTGTTCTATTTGGCTACCGGGATCGGTAGTGGCCAATGCTGGACAGGTGGCTGTGGTCAGTGTTTGGCACAGCCCGCTTAATTGCAAGCTACAGTGGGAAAGTGTACATTTACACGGGGACTTGAGAGTAACTGGAGAACAGATGTTGTGCAAGTGTACATGGTGTATGCTCATCTATAAAAGTAGAAGCTGGCCTTAAGGTTGAGTATTCCCTAATGACAACCTCAGCCTTGTCCCAATGCATTGGTGAAAACGGCACTAAGGCAAAGGTACCTGTCAGGGCTCCGGGTATGACCAGAGGTGTGTGGACTGACACAGGGAAACGCAGGCTTCAGATATGTATAAACAATATAATTTATTAAGACTAACAATACAAAACGCAGTGCAAAACTAAACATAAACACAGTGCAAACAAACCAAACCACCTACAGATAATACATACAATGCAAGAGTCGTCAGGCAGGCCGGGTGAGTAGCAAACGGGCAAACAGAGTACCAGGAACAGGTGGGAGAGTGGTCGGGGTCACAAGCTGGGTTCAGTAACTCACGGGCAGCGCGGTGCAGAGGGTCAGGCAGAGAATGGTCAGGGTCACAAGCCAGGGATCAAACAGGAGAAGTCAGCAGAGGTCAGGATCAGGCAGGGTCAGCAACAAGTCAGGCAGAAACGGGAACAGGAATACAGGATACAAGATACAGGGGCCCATGGAAAAACATACACCAAGGCCCTGACTGTGAGTCTGGCCATTCCTTAAATACAACCCCTGCAATCAGCTTCAGGTGTTTGGCTGACTGCAGGGGTGAGTCTCTGATTGCTGAGAGCACCCGCTGGCCAGCTCTGGTACTGCAGCCCACAAGGCAGGTGAGTCCCACCATTATTGGCAAGTCCATTCCTGACAGTACCCCATGTGTGTGAAGTAGAGAGAGAGATCCTGTACAAGGTGCCTAGAGTAGCCCAGAAGAACTCACCCAGTGGTATGTTTCTTATGTTTTCCAGACTTGGTGCACAGCGAGTTAATTGGAAAACATGGGGGGATGTGACAGACAACCACCACCCTACCCTGTGCTACACATGGGCGCTATGGCTTTTGAAATTGTGCTTGTTCATCTAGTATGCTAGAAATTTTGCTGTTAATGATATTCAAGTTTAATTAATTTTTTACTGGTTTCAAAGGAATCATGTTTTTCCCCAGCTCTTAGTAATAGTTATTATGGAAGCTAAGAAAATATATGAGCTGTCTAAGCTATGTGGGAATTCTGTAGATCTGATTGTTGAATAAGGCTCCTAGAGGAGACTTTTGGAGGTTTAATATAGGTCACTGAGTTTACAAAATGAGATACTGTACATATCTAGATTCTCTGGAACCTCAAACAGTTCTACCATGTCTTTAACATAGTTCCTGGCTGTCCACTGCCTCTAAAACAACTAAGGCAGGGTTCCCCAAAGTAATACCTAATGACCCTCAAAGGTCAATGGTACTATCCAATGGGCTGGAAAAATAGCATGATGGAAGGTCAATTATGGTCATTTAATCATTTTTGAGGTCTCTGTAGAGCTCCACACCAGTCCCTAATCACAAACACCAGTGGCAAGACAAGGTTACCCAGGGTAACCAGTGAGCATACTTCATTTGAACTGTTTTAAAGAGCTATGAGTAGACACATGTTATAGGAGAGGTGCCAAGACCTGACTACTGTGCAATTACTGAAAATTCAGCATTGAAATGACCACAATGTCAGCTGCTGATACCGAAGGAAGTGTCAACATATAAAGAATGTTATTATCATTTTTACCACCTACTCGTCCATAGTACATTTACTGCGGGCAGGGGGCACAGCAAGACTAGGTGATGTACTGGTACGTTGCCGAGCACATGTGCATTAGTGCACCCCCTGGGGCATGCAGCAGTGTGATCCCATGATCACTGTGTCCAAGGACAAAGTCGATCACTTGGTACCAGGCTGAGTGGCCGGGGTATTATGTGATTGCTATGGCCACTCATAGTGATTACATGATATTTATGTAAGCAAACTGCAATGAATGGCTTTCATTTTCAAACAGTTTGTGTACTCTTGTGATGATCAGATTGGCCCACAACTGTACCCTGTACCATGTGATTAGCTGTAGCCAATCACAGCATGCCAACAGTAAGCAAGCTGTCATGAATAGAAAGCCTTTCATGACAGTGAACACTATTGCTTATAACAGTGATCATCACTGTTATAAACAATAACAGGGTAGAAAGAAAAAATTCCTGATTCCCCCCACCCCACCCCTCAGACTAGTAACTGAACTACTCAGCTGAAAGTATGTAAAAAAAATAGTAAAGGAAAAAAAAAGATGTTTGTGTTTACATACTGTCACCAGTCAGTATCCCTGATCACCACCACACCAGTCATATAATGATGCTGTATTGCACTGAAGACAATATGTAAAATTAAAAAAAAAAATAAACACATTTTATTTAATTTCTTCAAAAAACTCACCATGCCTCTTTCTAAATCAGTTGGACTGTCTGCTTCCCAAAGAGGGGTAGTTTGGGAGGTATTTGTACTGTCCTGGCATTTTAGGGTCTCAAGAAATGAGATAGGCCATCAGTGCATCAGAACTGTTCAATTTCCAAACTTACAGTATATAACATAATTTGTAGACTCTATAACTGTCACAAAAACGGAATAATATACACTGATTTGGGTTAATTTTACCAAAGAAATGTAGCAGAACACAATTTGGCCTACATTTATGAAAGATTATTTGCAAACTTTTATGACAGAAACTAAGGAAAACACATTCTTATTCAAAATGCCACCAAAAGAAATCTCTATTTGTGTGAAAAAATGATATAAATTTCACCTGCGTACAGTGTGCATGGCCAAGCAACTGCTACTTATTGTAGCACAGTGCTTAATAGCAACAAATGCCCTCGTCATGAAGGGGGTAAAACCTTCCAGAGGTCAAGTGGTTAATATGTATTGCTGGTACTCAAAGTACTATTTAATAAATTGTATTCATATACCGTATTTTTCGCTCCATAAGACGCACTTTTCCCCCCCCCAAAATATGGGGGAAAATGTCAGTGCGTCTCATAGAGCGAATATGGAGCAGCCAGACTGGTATTTCCTATTAGAATAATGGGCCGGCTGCTTGGCTCTTCTCTGCAGACCTCCAGCGGTCCTACCTGTTCCTCGGTCTGCTCTGCTTCGGCATGGGCACCCTGCTGTGACAGCTTGCAACTTCACAGCCGGGTGCCCACTGCGCATGCATGCTCTTTGTGAATGGCCCTGTAATCTTCTGGGACCTGTCACGTGTACCAGAAGATTACAGGGAGGGAGGGGGGAAGGACAACTCCGGAAGTGGGAGCAGGCACCTGTCAAATTCGGGTACCTGCTCCCCCCCCCCCATCCGTCCCCAAAGGTCCGCAGTCTCTGGTCATCTCCTGTACTATGACCGCAGTCTCTGGTCATCTCCTGTACTATGTCCGCAGTCTCTGGTCATCTCCTGAAGTATGTCCGCAGTCTCCGGTCATCTCCTGTACTATGTCCGCAGTCTTCTGGTCATCTCCTGTACTATGTCCGCAGTCTCCCGTCATCTCCTGTACTATGTCCGCAGTCTCTGGTCATCTCCTGTAGTATGTCCGCAGTCTCTGGTCATCTCCTGTACTGTATGTCCGCAGTCTCTGGTCATCTCCTGTAGTATGTCCGCAGTCTCTGGTCATCTCCTGTACTGTGTCCGCAGTCTCGGTCATCTCCTGTACTATGTCCGCAGTCTCCGGTCATCTCCTGTACTATGTCCGCAGTCTCTGGTCATCTCCTGTAGTATGTCCGCAGTCTCTGGTCATCTCCTGTAGTATGTCCGCATTTCTGGTCATCTCCTGTACTGTGTCCGTAGTCTCTGGTCATCTCCTGTAGTATGTCTGCAGTCTCTGGTCATCTCCTGTAGTATGTCCGCATTTCTGGTCATCTCCTGTACTGTGTCCGTAGTCTCTGGTCATCTCCTGTAGTATGTCTGCAGTCTCTGGTCATCTCCTGTATGTGTCCGTAGTCTCTGGTCATCTCCTGTACTGTGTCCGTAGTCTCTGGTCATCTCCTGTACTGTGTCCGTAGTCTCTGGTCATCTCCTGTAGTATGTCTGCAGTCTCTGGTCATCTCCTGTACTGTGTCCGTAGTAGTCTCTGGTCATCTCCTGTACTGTGTCCGTAGTCTCTGGTCATCTCCTGTAGTATGTCCGTAGTCTCTGGTCATCTCCTGTAGTATGTCCACATTTCTGGTCATCTCCTGTACTGTGTCCGCAGTCTCTGGTCATCTCCTGTCATGTGTCCGTAGTCTCTGGTCATCTCCTGCCATGTGTCCGTAGTCTCTGGTCATCTCCTGTAGTATGTCCACATTTCTGGTCATCTCCTGTACTGTGTCCGTAGTCTCTGGTCATCTCCTGTAGTATGTCTGCAGTCTCTGGTCATCTACTGTACTGTGTCCGCAGTCTCTGGTCATCTACTGTACTGTGTCCGCAGTCTCTGGTCATCTCCTGTACTGTGTCCGCAGTCTCTGGTCATCTCCTGTACTGTGTCCGCAGTCTCTGGTCATCTCCTATACTGTGTCCGCAGTCTCTGGTCATCTCCTGTACTATGTACGCAGTCTCTGGTCATCTCCTGTACTACTGTATGTCCGCAATCTCTGGTCATCTTCTGTACTATGTCCGCAGTCTCTGGTCATCTCCTGTACTATGTCCGCAGTCTCTGGTCATCTCCTGTATGTCCGCAGTACTGTATCTCCTGTACTACGTAGTCTCTGGTCATCTCCTTTACTATGTCTGCAGTCCATTGGTTCTGAATATTTTTCTTCCTGTTTTCCTCCTCTAAAATCTAGGTGCGTCTTATGGTCAGGTACCTCTTATGGAGCGAAAAATACAGTAATTAATATTTGGAGATTAATGAACAATCTGAAACTTCATGAAGGGGTTGATAATTTGCATTTGGTACCATGACTTAAGGAAAGCTTGAGAACTTGGCTATTTATGGCAGGTGCCATCTCATCATGGTTTTATAGCTTCTCATCGTCATGGGGTCATATATGGAGTGAGCCTATGGGAATTCTGCTATTTAGTCTGTCCAGTGATGCTAAAGACAGACATAATATTGGTGGTCTCAGTTTTTGGTTAATATTCGGGATTGTGTAAGTATCTGGGAGTTTGCCCCTGCCTTTATGGTTACCCATTGTGGTGTTATATGTGGTAGTGTGCTTAGTGGTATCTGAGTTAGTTGTCCTGGTTTGGTGGCAATGCTATTAAATTGGGCATCTCCAAACCCCTCATTAGTTTTGTGTATATAATGCGTTTGTGTATCCAGTCTTTTACCCCCATACAAAACACAACAGTGTGTCCTTAAAATAAATAGGATAAATTAGAGGAATTTGGAGTGTTCAGAACAAATATATATAGAAGTTTAGGTAATATGTTAATTGTATCTGAATAATTTCTTCCAAACCACTAGGATAGTGCAGCAGACCATGTTGAAATACCTAGGGCAGCCTTTCTCAACCTTTTCAACACAGAGGAATGCTTGAATTAATTTTCTGGTCTCAGGGAACTCACCGATAAAAATGACTTTATCTACAACTCATGATACATTAGTGTGATGGACAGTGGGAAGAATGCTTCTTACAGACAGCTAAAAATCTCAGTGGTGTTAGTCGGAACTTATCTGGGAGGCAGAAATTGATCACTTCTCAAGGAATCCCTAGCAACCTCTGGTTTCCATGGGACCCTGACTGAGAATCCCTGATCTAGGGATGTCTGATTTCTGTGATTTGTTTTTTTTTTTTACTTTCCGAATCTGTGGATCATGAAGTATTGAGGCCAGAGGGTCAATATTATAGCCAGGCAAGTAGCATTTTGAAAAGGTGGTCAGCAATGCCATCTTCTATCTTTGTATCACATCTGGTTGAATTAAAGTGGTTGTAAACTCTAATATACACCCTGTGAAGTGACAGTCCTCCGGGGATACACAGAGATGAAACCAATCCTCATAAGTAAGTTGTACCTGTTTACCTACAGATGTCTTTTTTCCTAAGTACAGAACTATCACATGATTGCTCAGCTCTGAAAAGCATGGGGAGGAGGAGCTGAAGTTACATCAGTGAGGAGAGCTCTAAGAGCAGGTTGGAGAGAAGGGACCCCCCCCCCCCCCCTCTCCTTCGTTCACATAGCACACAGGGCTGAGGCTGTCAATCACAGGCTGTGCCCTCCCCATCACCATTTTCCTTTTGGTGTCAGAAAAACTTGTAAGAAGTAACTCATGCTGATAGCAGAGGAACTAGGCATCGGACAGAAATTACACTTAGTACTCTGAATTGAGACAAACACACCTTATATAGGAATATGCTTTGTTCATATTTCATGTCTGAGGTTTACAACCACTTTAAAATTTTAAAATACAAAAAGGAATTATCAAGCAGCTATGACCTCATGTTACATCCTAGGCCAGGAACATTAACCTAAAAAATTATACTCATTTAGCAAGCATTGGGGCTTTACTTGCCAGTCTTTGTTTTGCTACTCACATCCAGTTGTGAAAATTTTTTGAAGGATTTTGAAGAGCATAAAGAATTACTTTTGGGTAAACCGACCCTTTAACAATTAGTTCATGGCAATTACAGATTATGTGTAAAATAAAAAAGTGCTGAAGTGGTAACATTGATATGTACACACTGAGATAGTGGGTCATTATGATTTCCAGGGTCACATTCTGACATTTCCCATGTACAGTATGTAGAAATGTACACAGATCATACAACTAACAGTTAATAAATAATTCACGGTATGTCAGATAAAAGAAAGATCACACTGAATAATTTCTCAGAGACTTCTCTGTCGGACTGATGCCAACACATGCTGACATTTTTTCGATGACGCTCTTTGCCGCATACAGGGTTAAGGGACCTCTCCTCCATATTACAGATCGTTCTTACACAACTGAACATATCCTCTGTGACCTTAATGCAGTTATGAATATTCTGCGCTGTCACTGGAAATCGAGTTAGTATCGCATCTTCTGAACATTTAGCCTTCAATAAAATGTCACCGCAAATGCAAATCGCTTTTTAACTCAATTGGCTCACTGAGAGCACAAAACAACGTAGCCCTCAGCTGTCTGACTTGAGTTTCATGGATGTATGGACTAAACCATTATCTGCGTAGACCCAATACAGATCAATAGTGTAATCACTTAGATGGGGATCCCCCATAATAGATCAATACAGCGCAGAATTAAATCTAATTCAGATAACAGAGTAATGATAACGAGACTACTGGATCCTCCTTGTACAGACACACCATTCATTACTGTTGGCAAAAATTCACTGTACTGTGCATTGATCAAATGCAAACGGGATACAATAGACTGATCAATTACCACAGATTATAAAGCATGCAATGCACAATTGACTAATAAGTGTGCTACGTTACACTTAAAGGGCACCTACAGTGTATCCACAATAAATACACTTTTTGAGTTGTCAATTTCCTGAAAGCAATTATTCAAACTGTGTCAGGGTTTAGCTACATTATTTTATTTTGAAATTTTACATTGTTCCCTCTAGTGGTCATTGGTATCAGTGAATAGCATCTGTGCTCAAAGACTGCTAAGATAAGAAGGTGAATTCACTAAACTACACTGAAAATAAGTGGTAATGGCAAATGCTAAATAAGTTATTGTTAAGTGAATTGAGTCTTTGGTCAGTAAGTCAATTATCAGTCAGAGATTACCCTCATGCCAGTTCAACAACTTTTTTTGACATTTTGATTGAATCTAGTAATTATCATTGGATTTTCAGTACCAGTTCGATTAGTCTATTCACATTGTGCAGGACTGACTGGTAAATTCTGACTACTTTCATGATGCATGGAGGCAAATTTGCCTTCTCTGTTGTGCTTAACTATCATTTCAAATATTCAGTCAGATACGAAAAGGTTTCTTCACAATAAGAGCTCTGGAAATGTGGAATAAACTCCTTCAAGAACTAGCTCTAGCCAGCTCAGAAGAATAAAAAAAAGGGCTGGGTGCATTCCTAAATGCACAGAATATACAGGAACTGTATATTGATATTTATAGGTAACGGTTGATCCAGGCAGGGGTGTATTTACCACAAGGCAAACAAGGCATTTGCCTAGGGCGGCATTTTTCAGGGGGGCAGCACCTGCCCTCTGGAAAAAGGGACAGAAGAAGGGACACATGCAGCATGGGGACCAGGTGGGATCCGAGAGAGGCTGTGGGCTGCTTGATGGTGTGTGCAGAGCCTGACTCTCGTTCTGGGGGATGTCCGGAGCTGTAAAGGTCAGTAGTGTATTTCTCTCCCTCGTTGGGGAGGGAGGGGGGATGTGTGTTAGTGGAAGGCTCCCTCGGTTGGGGGGAGGCAGGGGTGTTGTTGGTCAATGTCAGGCTCTCTCTGCAGGGGGGGGGGGGGGGTCTGATTTTTGTATTGCCTAGGGCAGCAAAATAGCTAAATACACCACTGGATCCAAGGAATATTCAATTGCCTTCTGGGAATCGGGAAGGAATTTATTTTTCATCTGTTGGAGCAAATTGAACCAGGCTTTATAGAGATTTTTTTGCCTTCCTCTGGATCAGCTGTTGGTATAGGATTCTGTATGTGAAGGTTTTAAATTGTTTTTCTATGTATTTTTTCTATTGCTTGAACTAGATAAACGTGTGTCTTTTTTTTCAACCTGACTATGCAACTATGTAATTAAATGGACGACTGCCTGGAAAAAATGTGTATGGCTAGAATTAGAGTCTGAATTGGTGAAGAATAAATTGTAGCTTTAATTTCATCAAATATAAAATTATACCCAGAAGAGTTTTTTCAAAACACAGCTTCTCCTTGAATTGATTGGAGGTAGAAAGAGAACACTGGTGCAATTCACTTTGCTTGTAGCGAGAGAAGCAGCAAAGTACATTATAGTGCAGCGCCAGGCTGGGTTCACACTACTACGATGCAACTTGACATATTCTGTGGAGCCAAGTCACACTGTAAATTGCAACAAAAGTATTGCAATAACCATCATTTTTTTCAAAATTGCACCATTCTGATTAGAACAGGCACCACTGCAAAAAAAAATGAGATTTCCATGATGTGATTCTGTGTGTGACTCACATTGCATCAGAAGTTGCACTAGCATGAACCAGGCCATAAAGTGGTAGTAAACCGCATCCAAAAAAAATAAATCTCCTGCAAGGTAAAGGCATATTTTGTCAGTATGCATAGCATACTAGCACATTATGTAAAACATACCTTAAAACAAAGTCCTCCAGCGGCACGCTGTCACCGCTGTAGAGGCTTCCATCTTCACCCAGTCTTGAGATGTTCCCTGGCCAGGTTCATGAGCAACCCCGAGCACCTGACTCTCACCCGGGAGTCATGGAACTCGGCACAGGGCTCTGAAGGAACAGCACGGGTATGCCGTTCTTTCAGAGCGTATGTACCAGCTCTAAAAAAAACTGAATATCTCCTAAATGGTGCACATGTAGGAGATCTTAATTTAACCTACAGGTAAGCTTTATTATATGCTTACCTGTAGGTAAAAATATACTGTCCTTCCAACCCCATGTCCAATCGCTGGCAAACTCATGCAGGCTCCACCTCCACAACATCTCTCCAAAATACGTTTGTTCCTCACCCCAGACACTACTAAACAACTCATTCACTCCCTTATCTCACGACTGGACTCCACTGCAACTCCCTCCTCACCGGCCTACCCCAACACAGACTCTCCCCGCTTCAGTCTATCCTGAACTCATCCACCTTACCAACCGTTTCCTCTTCTGCCACTGCCCCCTCTGTCATTCCCTCCACTGGCTTCCGATTGCCCAGTGCATTAAATTCAAACTACTAACACTGACATACAAAGCCATTCATAACACTGCAGGTCCCTAACTACCTTACCGACCTGATACCTAAATACCACCCAACCTTCGCTCCTCACAAGACCGCCTACTTTCTAGCTCACTGGTCTCCTCCTCCCACGCCCGATGCCTGCAGGACTTCTCCAGGACTTCCCCCATCCTCTGGAACTCACACCCCAATCCATCAGACTGTCACCTACCCTCCTCACCTTTAGGCGCACCCTGAAAACCCATCTCTTCAGGGAAGCCTACCCTGCCCTCACCCTAACTCACATTCATACATACACATACTAGGGCCAGTTTAGACAGAATCCAATTAACCTACCAGCATGTCTTTGGAGTGTTGGAGGAAACCAGAGTACCTGGAGGAAACCCAAGCAGACACAGGGAGAGCATGCAAACTCCAGGCAGGTGGTACCGTAGTGACACATGAATCACATGTAGGGAGGACTGAGATGGAGGGAAGGTGGGTATTTGCCCCCTGGGCCAGTACTAGCTTGATATTTTGGGCTTTTGTCCCTAGTGGAGATACTTCATCATTCAGTCATCGATCAGAGCAAGATCTGCAGTCAATGACACAAGCTTGGCATGATATAGTTATCTGCTCCCCATTCCAGACCTGTGATCACAACATCTGGCAGATGGAAGTCTTCCACCATCTATCAGATGTTATGTGACCATATATCAAGAGCCACAAAGAAAGCTGATGCTGGAAGATGTAAAATATATCACTTGACATTTGTGCTGCTGATGTTGAGTAATTAGCAGTGGAAATGTACAGTTCTGCTGTGTTTTTATTTAAAGCTCTTTAAAGTCTAGAGCAAAAAACTGCATTGAACCGGGTGATCTGGGGACTGCTATGTGCCAACACACTACAGGTAATTATTAAAGAGAGTGAATTATGAATTACTTTGTAATACTAACTGAACAGTGACAGACTTGTTACTTTATCTAATTAATGATTCACTGCATGTCCCAGAACTTCACTGACCGGCTCTCTTTCAAGGAGAACTAATGGAAAAGCAGTATTATATTTTTAAAATGAGGATTTTTCAGGTCACAAAATATATTCAGTTCAGTGTTTTGCCTCCTTTCCTTCAGCACAGGAACACTCTACTGAATTACCAATGCAAGGTTGTTCGCACATTCTCTATTCACCTTTGTTCACATGTTTACCTGATTTGGGTTACTCAACCTCTGCATTTACTAATCCTGGGCTGGAAATCCAAGTAATTAAACATTTGTTGTGGGTATATTCTGGCCAATGATACATGGCCTGACATTGATTGATTTTAAATATTCGCTGCTTTCAAATGGCCAATCTTTGATTTTACCATGGATTGCCTGTGACGACATGTTACATTTGATCCTGATTGCTTGTTCCTGCAAACATTCAATGTCTTGATAATGAAAGATTTTAGCCCTCTGCACTGGAAATACTGTATTCTAAATCCCTTTTTCATTACTTTATGCTGCTATAGCTGCATTAGGTTTCTTTCACACGAAGGGTCTGATCAGGTCTGTGTCAGTTTTTCAGGCAGACCTGACTGGCCAGTCCATTCACCCCTATGGACCGGCTGGTGTAAATGGACACCCACAACCACTTACCTCCAATCTGCTAAAAAAAAACAGAAGGGGATCTGTCCTCCTCTGTCTAGGCAGATCAGTTGGGAAGGCAGTCGAGTGTAAAGGGACAGCTGTGTCCAGTTAAATCTGACCACCCATAGAGTAGAGTGGGCTCTGTCCATGAAGTGGACATGGACCTGTCATCCACCCGCTCTGCTCTGATCAGCAGGGGATCAGTGGACAGATCCCCTGCTGATCAAAATGTTTTTTTCACACGTGAAAGGGGCCTAACAGCCAAGTCTCTCAGTACAAATGTTCTCATGCAGACTTGTATTTCAGAAGAAGAGAGGGGTGTGCCTGGCCAGATCTGTTAGTAAGTGCTGATTACTGAGTGCACTAGATCTAACCTTGGTGCCTTTTGGACAGTCATTTTTATACTGCATCTTGCACAACTGCTGTAAGAGGAAAGTAAAGATAAGAGTATGGAATTGTGGGCTGTTAGTACAATGTCTGTTGGACTGCATACCTATTTCTGTGACTTCAGCTAGGCTTCAACACATTCATATGTCTGGAATATTTTTTTTAATTGGTAGTTTTTACTAAAGGTGCTCAGCTAAAGTGACATCACGAATAAAAATCAGACCCTGTCCAGACAGCCTCTTACAACAGAATGGAAATTTTCATGCAGCAACACTCAGCTCCTCATAAATCCTTCTTTAAGAAATAGAAGTGCACAGCAGATGCTTGTTGTCACAGGTAGATGTCTGCAGACAAAGGAACAAGGCCCTGGGGCCAAATGGCACTGACACAGGAATTATTCAGAAATACAGAGAAAGCCTGTCTATTAAAAAAAAAAAAACACCTGTCACCTAAGCATAAAAGAAGGAGCTGTTTTCTGCTGCGGACCAAAAACAGTGAAGCAAGCTCAATTCTTACTGCCTTGGCAAGCCTAACCAAAACAGACATGTGCCTAAGGCAGAACTGGTTGGGGGCGGCATTAAAATTGTTTTATGAATACCTTTATTTCTTATTCCAGCCAGACCGCTAAATGCATACATAAATATAGAATTAATCTAGAAATTGTTCTGCTTACCCCTGCAGTACCATATGACTGCACAGCACAAGGGGGGACAAAGCTTTTAAAGAATTTACAGCTCTGTAGACCCTATACCACTGTCCTGCCTTCTTGATTACTGCATACTACCTCCCGTAAGTCCAGCTAATTTCCTATCCCTGCCACTCATCTGCTTGCTGAACAGCCACTCCCACTGTAAGACTGATTTCAAACATCAGCTGTCATAACAGGAAAAAGGTGATGGGCTACTGGAATATTTTTGAACTGAACTCAGGAATGATGGCCCTGACAGAAAAGGTCCACTCCGCATGAGCGTAGCTCCAGGGGTTGCAAAGGCGGCCCCACTCATGCTTGAGAGGGTCCGTATGGCCTCTTTGTAAGGCTGTCCCATTTGGTTTTACATGGGGTGGAGTTCAGCTCAGCCCAGAAGCTCTGCCGGAACTCCAGCTGATTCTTGCTGCAACGCTTCTCCTTCTTCAGAGCCACCGTCTGCTCCCAGTAGGTGACCCGATACACAGAGCTGAAGCCCCCCAAGCCCAGTGGTTCCAGGACCCAAACCTGCTACCAGTCTATGCCACACTAGGTCAGGCAGGAAGGGAAACTGCACAGGGCTGGCCGGCTGGAGCTGGAGGACGAGGCAGCTCCCGGGGCTTGTTACAGCTCAACTCCAGAGGACTGCTACATGGACAAAAGTCTATGGACAGGTTCCAGGGGAGGAACCGCTCTATGGTATGGGGGACAGCATGAGGACTGGAGCAGAGCCAAGATATGGCTACATGGGGAGGCACCCAACTATATACACGTGTTTCTGACACCTGGCTGTACTATATACCCTATATACAGATCTCTCTTCTCTCTCTCTCTATATATATATATTCGCTAACTCCACCAATAGTGACCAACCACACACTTGTGAATAAAGAGGATCTCAGGCAACCCTCAGGCTTTATTTGCAGATACGTGTGTATATAACTTTGTATATGATTTTCTATACTGAACTTAATTTGTGTATTTAGTCCCTATTGGTGAACATTGTAGGTTGCGGCTTTCTCATTTATTTTATATAATTTCCTATATTTTTCACTAAGCGCAGGGAAAACAAATGAAATAAATGTGTGTGTGTGTATGTATATGTGTGTGTATATATATATATATATATATATATATATATATATATATATATACAAACTATATTGCCAAAAGTATTGGGACACCCCTCCATACCATGGGATTCAGGTGTTCCAATCCCCTCAGTGGCAAAGGTGTGTAAAATCAAGTACCTAGGCATGCAGACTGCTTCTACAAACATTTGTGAAAGAATGGGTCACTCAGGAGCTCAGTGAATTCAAGCGTGGTACCGTGATAGGTTGCCACCTGTGCAATAAGTCCATCTGTGACATTTCCTTGCTACTAAATATTCCACGGTCAACTGTTAGTGGTATTATAACAAAGTGGAAGCAACTGGGAACAACAGCAACTCAGCCACGAAGTGGTAGGCCACGTAAAATTACAGAGCGGGGTCAACGCATGCTGAAGCACACAGTGCACAGAAGTGCATTGCAAAGCATTGGATGCAGTGGTGTAAAGCACCACTGGACTCTAGAGCAGTGGAGACGTGTTCTCTGGAGTGACAAATCATGCTTCTCTGTCTGGCAATCTGATGGACATTATTATTATTATTATAATACAGTATTTATAAAGCGCCAATAGTTCGCTCAGCGCTGTACATTACAGAGGGGGACAAACATGTGACAGAACAATACCAATACAATGCAAAACATGAGGGTATTGAGGGCCCTGCTCTTTCGAGCTTACAATCTAGGAGGGAGGGGATGGTAGCACAGGAGGAGATAGCTGTGGGGGATGGAGTGGTAGGAAGAGTGGAGGAGGTTGGCAAGTTAGCAGGGGGTGGGGTAGGCTTCCCTGAAGAGATGGGTTTTCAGGGTGCGCCTAAAGGAGAGTAGGTGATAATCTGATGGGTTGGGGCAGGGAGTTCCAGAGGATGGGTGACACCCTGGACATGTTTGGGTTTGATGGTTGGCAGGAGAATGGTACTTGCCCGACTGCATTGTGCCAAGTGTGAAGTTTGGTGGAGGGAAGATTATGGTTTGGGGTTGTTTTTCAGGGCTTGGCCCCTTAGTTCCAGTGAAGGGAACTCTAGGCGACAGCGTACCAAGACATTTTGGACAATTTTATGCTCTCAACTTTATGGGAACAGTTTGGGGATGGCCCCTTCCTGTTCCAACATGACTGCGCACCAGTGCACAAAGCAAGGTCCATAAAGACATGGATGAGTGATTTTCTGTCCAGCTTAGAGTCCTGACCTCAACCCGATAGAACACCTTTGGGATGAATTAGAGCAGAGACTGCAAGCCAGGCCTTCTCGTCCGACATCAGTGCCTGACCTCACATATGCACTTCTGGAAGAATGGTTAAATATTCCCATAGACACACTCCTAAACCTTGTGGACAGCCTTCCCAGAAGAGTTGAAGCTGTTATAGCTGCAAAGGGTGGGCCAACTCAGTATTGAACCCTACGGATTATGACTGGGATGCCATTAAAGTTCATGTGCGTGTAAAGGCAGGCGTCCCAATACTTTTGGCAATATAGAGTGTGTGTGTGTGTGTGTGTGTGTGTGTGTGTGTGTGTGTGTGTGTGTGTGTGTGTTGTGTGTGTGTGTGTGTATGTGTATATACACACACAGTGGGGCAAAAAAGTATTTAGTCAGCCACCAATTGTGCAAGTTCTCTCACTTAAAAAGATGAGAGGCCTGTAATTGGCATCATAGGTAGACCTCAACTATGAGAGACTAAATGAGAAAAAAAATCCAGACAATCACATTGGCTGATTTGGAAAGAATTTATTTGCAAATTATGGTAGAAAATAAGTATTTGGTCACCTACAAACAAGCAAGATTTCTGGCTCTCACAGACCTGTACCTTCTTCTTTAAGAGGCTCCTCTGTCCTGCACTCTTTACCTGTATCAATGACCTGTTTGAACTTGTTATCAGTATAAAAGACACCTGTCCACAACCTCAAACAGTCACACTCCAAACTCCACTATGGTGAAGACCAAAGAGCTGTCGAAGGACACCAGAAACAAAATTGTAGACCTGCACCAGGCTGGGAAGACTGAATCTGCAATAGGCAAGCAGCTTAGTGTGAACAAATCAACTGTGGGAGCAATAATTAGAAAATGGAAGACATACAAGTCCACTGATAATCTCCCTCGATCTAGGACTCCACGCAAGATCTCACCCCGTGGGGTCAAAATGATCACAAGAACAGTGAGCAAAAATCCCAGGACCACATGGAGGGACCTAGTGAATGACCTGCAGAGATCCAACGTAAAAAAGGCTACCATCAGTAACACACTACGCCGCCAGGGACTCAGATCCTGCAGTGCCATACGTGTCCCCCTGCTTAAGCCAGTACATGTCCGGGCCCGTCTGAAGTTTGCTAGAGAGCATTTGGATGATCCAGAAGAGGACTAAGAGAATGTCGTATGGTCAGATGAAACCAAAATAGAACTGTTTGGTAGAAACACAACTCGTCGTGTTTGGAGGAGAGAGAATGCTGAGTTGTATCCAAAGAACACCATACCTACTGTGAAGCATGGGGGTGGAAACATCATGCTTTGGGGCTGTTTCTCCACAAAGGGACCAGGATGACTGATCCATGTACAGGACAAAATGAATGAGACCATGTATTGTGAGATTTTGAGTGCAAACCTCCTTCCATCAGCAAGGGCATTGAAGATGAAATGTGGCTGGGTCTTCCAACATGACAATGATCCCAAACATACCCCCCGGGCAACGAAAGAGTGGCTTCGTAAGAAGCATTTCAAGGTTCTGGAGTGGCCTAGCCAGTCTCCAGATCTCAATCCCATAGAAAACCTTTGGAGGGAGTTGAAAGTCCGTGTTGCCCAGCGACAGCCCCAAAAACATCACTGCTCTAGAGGAGATCTGCATGGAGGAATGGGCCAACATACCAGCAACAGTGTGTGCCAACCTTGTGAAGACTTAAAGGAAACGTTTGACCTCTATCATTGCCAACAAAGGATATATAACAAAGTATTGAGATGAACTTTTGATATTGACCAAATGCTTATTTTCCACCATAATTTGCAAATAAATTCTTTCCAAATCAGCCAATGTGATTGTCTGGATTTTTTTTCTCATTTTGTCTCTCATAGTTGAGGTCTACCTATGATGCCAATTACAGGCCTCTCTCATCTTTTTAAGTGGGAGAACTTGCACAATTGATGGCTGACTAAATACTTTTTTGCCCCATATATATATATATATGTATATGTATATTAGTGCATACACTATTAGTGCATAACTGCTAAAGGGGTGGGGGTGGTGCCACATTGGCGGAGCTTGAGGGGTTTCAGGGGTCACAATGGCTACCCCGCCCTTGCTCCAGGGTGCCCATGTGGCCTGCCTGTTAAATTAAGTTTAACACTGTGTGCATGGGAGAAGCTTGAGAGGTCACAATGGTGACCTCATCCATGCTCCAGGGGGCACATGTGGCCTCCTTGTGACATTAGGTTTTACACTATGCCACTGGGGAAAAGTGCTTGCCGCATCAAGCCTAGCCAATTCAATAAATTCAGAGGGATTGGGCACTCTGACTTTTCAGTTTCACCTACACAGGGTGACCAAGCAAGCCCTTTACCGCAGAAGCTCAGTCTGTGCTGAGCCCCCCTGCCCAGCCCAGTACAATCTCCCCCCCCTCCACCTTGCTCAACCTTGCGTGTGCATGCAAGATGAGGGAGGGCAGGACACACTCTGAGCTGTTGGGTGAAAGCGGTGGACTTGTATGTGACTTTGGATGTCAGTGAGTGGGCAGGGCCCCGGCTGGGCCCTCTGAGTCTCCTCTGTTACATACAAGCCCACTGCTTTCACCCAACATCTGGGTGTAGCCTGCCTGTAGCCTGTCTGCTCCCACCTTGTGTGCATGTGCAATGGTAGTATCCTGGCATGCATCTTGGCATGCACTGGAAGTGGCAGGTGGTAGTTGGGGGGCGGGCAGGTCAACTTTCGCATCAGGGCCCACGAGCTTCAAGCCATGCCTCTGCCTTGCTGCCATTCAGATTTTTTTGCACACAGAAAATTCAGATTTCTTTGCCAAACATAGGTCTTGTCTGACTATGAAAAGTACAATAGTGTGTTAAAATGAGGAACTATGTATTAGAAAAAAAATTGTTTTTTTTTGTGAGAGTTCAAGACATGATGGTGTCATAAATGTTTTTTTCCCCACAAAAATATTTGTCTTTTTTTCTAGTGTTTTTCTACTTTTTGTGGTAACTAATATAGAAAGTGCTTTGTGCCATTTTTTTTTTTAATAGCAAAATGAATATTCTCTGCCGAGTGCTATGCAACATATCAGCACGAGATAAAAAGGTAAGAAAAATATATATGGAAAGATATGTGGGAATAATTCTTTGCACTTTATTCTACAAGGCACTGATGCGCTAAGTGAAGTAATCCAGAACAGCCAGTTATAATTCAGGTGAATTGTTGTCAGACCAATGAAAGATTAGTGCCGTCTGGTTGCTAAGAACTACTAAACTTTCCCAGGTCACTACACTTGCTTGATGTACTCAGTAATTGAATGGGTAGCATATGACTCAATGCTGCCCCAAGTGGCCAGAATGATGAACTTCTGAAAGTCTATATCTGATTTTTTTTTTTAAAAATGTTTGTATATCTGAAACCAAATTTTTCTTTAGTTATTTAGTTTGGCATGGACTTGTACCTTTGAGTTCAGCAGTACTGAATAAGGTATGGTACAGGAATTAGTTCAGCGTTAGGGACTCAGTTACATTAGGGTAAAGGTCAGATCTCTGGGGATAAAGGATAAGTGGTGGAGAGTTGAGGGGTTCAGTGATAGGCTAAAGCTAAATTCTGGCTTTATACATGTCTCACAGTGATTCAGTTTTTCATGATCTGATACCTTTGTGGTTCTCAGCATTTGGCCATGACATCTCAGAGCTACAAAGAAAATTGGTGCTTGAAGACTTCCGTCTGCCAGATGCTGTGGTGACAGGTCTGAACGGGGAGCAGATAGTTTGATAAAGTCTAACGTGTCAATGACTGCAGATCCCACTCTGACTGATGACTACATGAGCGAGTAATATCCTTGTTTTTGCTTGCTTTTTTCTCTGAGGAGAAATCTGTGTTTGGATCACTCTTCAGAGAGCTTTTGTCTGGTGGTGGTGAGGTGTTGTATCACCTCCTCACTGCCTGTTTAAACCCACTAAATGCCAGACTACCATGCTGTAACCACTTGTATTGTGCCTAGTTGCAGTGCGGCCCTATTTATTTGAATGAGTGCGATGGGGGAGTAATTTTAGGGGGCAAAGCATCAAATCCAAGGCATGTGTACACCCACACCAACTGCCTTCCAGTTAAAGGGGGAGGGGTGGAAGGGTGGTAAAAATGTGGCTCAACTGTGGGGTTTTATCACCTTCCAAATGCAAGAGTAAATTACCCTTCAGTGTTTAAAAACTTTTCTATACTGCTTATGTACATGGATGCAGCCATGGTCACTCATTATACAGTATATGCAGGCTCTGATTCCTGTTTAGGTGTGCTCCACC